TCCCCCCCGCAAAACAAAAATTGGACCCCAATTTTTTATATAACAAACCATCCAAAGGTGTGTACAAGATTGAAATTATAGCAATATAAAGTGACTTTAAATTCGCTGGATTGATATTATTTCAAAGACATGATTGAATATGATGACTGATGTTTAAACAGAAAACATATAAGAGTATATTAGCTATTACTGTATGACATCCAACATGCACAAATTTGTTATATTTTGAAAATCAAACACTAGATATAAGGAAAAATTTAAAATAAAAATAGAAGGAAATACAATATTGAACTCTAATTGAAACTATTAAACTCTCTTGAAAGGTATAACAAACGTGTATGAAAAGTAAAACAAAAATATTAACAATGTCAATAATTGAAACTATACCCTTTTAGCTGTTAGCAATCAATACAAGATCACAACAGAATGGCCAATATTGCATTTATACATATAGTGACCGCTTACTCCCAATTAGTGTAATGAAAAGTTTGTAAACTTTCTATTTCGGACACAAATTTACACTTTGCACATCTCAAATCAATAAAATTGACAGCATACAAACAGAATACTCCTCAGAAACATATGAAGGCAATATAATATTAAGCAGACTGGTTTGCATGACCATATACTGTCAACGTAACTACCATCTAACCATCATTATTAAATAGTATACAAAATGATGAAGCATGAGAAAATCATATTGAACCATACACACATCATTCATCCAATTTGTTTGATATCCAATAAAAAAAATCACAATCTCGCAACTATCTAGTGTCAAAACAATTTGTCAAAATACTTCAAATCATTATGAAACAAAATGTGGCATGTTAATCTGGGAACCTGAGAGTAGCTTAAGTGGCTCCTTATCTACATAGGTAATAATGTAATGTATGCTCGTACTAATTGTGTTTAATACCAAACAACTACAATTCAGTGTAGTAAGAGAAACAGTTCCACCAATGCATTATGTATGACAACATAGGGTAATAATTTACAATTTAAACAAAAATAGGAATGACACTGTTCCCATCCAACTCGACAAGTGGTAGGAATGACACTGTTCCCATCTGGCTCAACAATTATATGATACAATTAGCAATTCAAACAGTAAAAGAAAATGATGAAACTAGAAACGTATCAAGATTTGACTATCAGTTTCTGCACAAACCAATGGAAGAATAATTGGCATATTATGAAATGAGTACGGAAGATTGTCATTATTATCAATCACGGAATGTCTTCATTTTAGAATATGGGACAATTTACATCTCCAATGTCAGTAGATTACACATCATTTGACATGTGCAGGTAAGTCTTTCCGCTGGCCAGTCAGATATGCAAACAGATCTTTACTGTTGATAGACATTGAGTTGAACTGCTCCGAGTTAGAAACATCACGAACATCAACAACTCTAGGTGTCACTTCAGTCACTGAACAAACAGCATATTCTGTAGAGGGTTTGGTGTTACACATTCCATTCACAGTCTCTGACGTGTTAAGTCCTGACGAAGTGTAGGGTGCATCTTTAGAAGCAAATGACTGACCAGAAAATGACTGTCCACAAAGTCCAGTTTTCACTCGATCGGGCCTATAACCAGAACTTGTATCCGTACACGGGTCACCAAGATACTCTAAAACAGGCCTAGACGTGTCCTTATGTTGGATGTTACACTTACTATCCGAAGTAGAACCAACTGTCTCTGGGGCGTCATCTGGAGCACTGTGTACCACAACATCAGTCGTGTTTGCCCTGTTTATATCAACACACACCTGCTTTGTATTCGCCTTAATAACTTTAGTACCTGAATCACGCCGCTTCCGGTCAAGTAGCCACTGCTTTCATCGCTTTTTCTCGTGGCGAATCTGTGACGGCGACATGTGTTTACGTCGTTGGTTGTTGCTAGGCGTAGATATAATTGCAGTACCCGGTACATTACTTTGGTCACAACCATTATCACTCCCGAAGTCCTTGTTACAATGAGATAACAATTTGGTCCATGTGATAGAAAATGACAAAGTCTGTCCATTCTCCTTAAAAACATACGATGGAATCCAATTGCTGTATTCGACACTGTAATGATCAAGCACCTTAAGTAAATTGTCCGGAAGTAGCATGGTTGAAATTATAGCAGTTACCAGTTCAAATATCGATACATCTTACAATGCCGCCATTACCACGTGTTCAGACCCAAGCACTCTGCATCTTCCTATAAACGGGAACACTCGCTTGCTGTGGTCCAACCAACAACGGTCGGCTGGAAATGTCACGAAACTACATCTTACGGTTTTGGATTCTCCACCATGTAACGGGTTGCGTTAATTGTCTCTATTGGGGACTCGCTTGGCAGAATATTAACAACACACAACCGTTGCTTTTCGTGATCTTCACTTTTATTCCCTTCCAAACTAAAGAGTTCCCTTCAAGGAGAACATGCCTGACGTTACAATTGGCAAATGATATAATCCTAATCGGAGTTACTTCCCTTACACCAAAAACATACAAATGTAACTATAGTACTTCTGTAATATTAATTAATCACACAATTGGATGGTTCACAATAATATATGCTATATATAACACAAAATGAAAAGGGCATTAAGTATAACTCATCTTCATTCTTCATTATTATATACCCGAAGTTACACATCCCCGTGCACGGTGGTCGTCTTTATACTTTCCCTGTTTAATATTTCAATTAAACTAAGACGATAAGTAAAATTCAATCAGAGACGTATACAAAGTAGTATAAGCTATTCAATAAGTTACACTAATGTTTGTTTGGACTTATCCTGATATGTCGGAGTAATCATTCTCCCCAAATTGTGGTTGAGATACATCTAATTTTTATTTCCTAAATTCTCAGATTTCGTTGGAGAAATTTAATCTAGATACGTCGCCGAAGGACGTATCTGCGTCCACAGGGACCCGAGAGTCCAAATCATTCCTTGGGTGCGGTTGGAAGGATGGGCGGTACTTATTTCGAGCAATAGTGTTAACCACTGAAAACATCTAATTTATACTTCCTTAATTCTCAGATTAAGTTAATCTACGTGACGCCTTATCACAACAACAAGAACATCTAATATATTCAACACAGCGGGATAGGTCAAAACAAACCAACTGTAGCAAATTCCCGGGTCCCTGTGACTGAAACCACAGGTAGTAACCTTGTGGTCTTTACCTTCGAAATAACAATAGCCGCGGGTAGCAGGGGTTACCACACGTTTAAACAATAATAAAGGTAAGGCCAGGTAAAAGCAGACCAGATAATAGTTGGAATTAATTCACTATTGTTTAGGATAGTGAAATCAGTGTTTTTTGTACAAAATACTTTTCAAAATGACGGTCAAGAAAAAGCAATAAAAAACTTTGGTTCAAGGCTGTTTTAAGGATGGAATGACATAAGTAATTCAAATTTCAGATTACGTTTTCATCACTCGGACAAATGAAAATGTGTAACTTGAGGTACAGCACGGAATTAGATTATCTAAGTCCGTGAGTACAGCAAAAAATATGATTAAGCGTAACAGGGTGCATAGAATATATACATGTATTTTGTGTTGTAAGATGTATAGATAAGATGCCTATAACTTCAATATCATTCATATAAATATTGATTATAATTATCAAATAGTACCACTAAAGAGAATATCATAAGAATTATATCTGTTTGAGATATAAGTAGAGAAGAACGATTTTAAGAAAAAAAACAATAATCACACGGAATTCGCTTGCAGCATTTTAGTTGGATTTTTAAGATAATACAGGAACAATACTCTATGCAAACACATCACTTCACTTGTTTTATAAATATGATGATATTCATATCCAATATTTTCCAAACACAAGTTTCATATTTTATCTCCTTTTGGACATTTGCTAACGCCTAGTTTAAATAAAAACAAGCAATTACACGTACGTAATTTAGTTTGGGTTGTCAATTATTTTTCGACAAATTAATTAAATATTTTTTAGCAACAAATTCAGAATTTGAGACCAAAAAACTAAACTACCCACTAGACGTATCCATATGTATTGTTGATGTCGAAGAACCATTTTTCAAGACTATTCCCGTAATTTCACCTTGAAAATATAGAAATTAAAAACAAGATAAGTGGGAAACCACCAACATAAAATATACTTTTAATCTTATCAATTCATAAAAAGGAATGTGTTTAGGCGTCGTGTAGATTTACTGATTAGATGTTAAATGTAATGTACTGCTGAGTTACACACGGATGCCATTAGAAGTTTAATTCCATTTCAAAACGAATTATCAATATTCTCCAAAAATCGGAGGACAAATCATCATTCCAAATTATTTGTTTGGTGCTGACAGAGAAAATGTTGCCTATAAGTACATCTGCATCTGCCGCTGTGCAAATAACACGCGAGCGCTGTAAATACAGGTCAGAGTTAGGGTCAGAGACCGACACGCTTCCGCGAGTAAGTACATCTAAATTGGTCTACTATGAACGGCGTTTTAGGAGCGTGTTTAATTGAACTGTTTGTGTGCGTTTGCGTTGACATTCCGTTGCGTTTCCGTTGAATTTCCGTTGGGTTTCCGTTGCGTTTGCGTTCCGTTTGCGTTGCGTTTGCGTTTAAACGGACAAGAAAAACGGTCCAGGGTCTGTACACTGAAGTCATGCTACACATGAGCAAGTTCTGTGTCAAGTTGTTCACACGGTGAAAAGCTTAGCGACAACTTAAAGCAAAATTGTATTCTAGTATTTTTTCAAAATTCTTATTCAAATGAATTCAGAATGTTCGTATGAAAAAAAGTAAATACGAACATGTAACGTTTTCAGAAAATTTCCATTTTAACAAACGTTTACGGCTCACTACGCTACTCTGCTTTGATTACCTGGACCCTCATAGCAATGCAATGCTTAAAATCATGTTCAGCGTTTTATTCACCAAGTTAACAAGACTAGAATGGTTAATACGACAGATATTTAACATTAAATAGTCTTTTTACTATTTTTATCAACATAGGAATCGTTGGAGACTGGAAGAACTGGTTCACAGTGGCGCAAAACGAACAGTTTGACGAGCTATTGGACAAGGAACTGAAGGGAACATCTCTCAAATTTACATTTGAAATTTGATTAAACAATACCATCGAGAGCATGTATCTCTTTCATCATTATATACAGATACAAAGTACCCCGTAACAGACTATTGCATATCCAGATAACCTAACACACACTTGATATCCTACATCAGACATCCGTATATTCCAATCCATGTAAAAAAAATATAGAAGTTATATGGCATACTTTGAATATAACTGTATTGTTTTGATTTACTTTCATGTTTCATGTGGTATTTCATTTCACTTTATGTACGTTTACAAAATGCACAAAAGAATGATATTCATTTAGGTAACCTCCAACATAGGACAGGGAAAGACTAGACGACGGAACAGCGCGCTGTATTCCGAGTCTCATTCGGAAACCGTCCTCGTTCTGAACGTCATTAATTCAGTGTTGATCTTTGTTATAGTTTAGCTAGCGTCGTTGTCGTACTTGGCCTCATTTACATTTTAAAGAGGCAACCTTACTAAAGGTCAAGTACGACAATTCAATATCCATCAAACTCTAGCAACGAGCTTATCCATTGATCATTCAGATTAAATATGGGATGTATTGAATTTTGTTTGTTTGTAAACAACGTTATAACCGCCAGCGACTTTTGTTGTTGACAATTGATCTGATAATCGATACTAGATTATGGTCGAATATACGTTATATCTAATAAACATGAAATTAATTACACCTTAATTATCATTTTTGCATAATAACTCTTGAAATCGCATAATGTTCAGCTGGCAATATCTAACCCTTCAATTGATCAGTGTCTAGCTAGAGTGATGGTCAAACAATGACCATATGCCAACGCTAGCAGTGCACGGTTTCGTTCTATGGTCATTGGGTTATTTTCGTTAATCGGAACGAGGAATCGTTTTGTTTAATTATTGTGTTTGGTGAGAACTGGATATAATGTGGATGTTAGTATTTTTAACTAAATGCAACTTTCAGTAGGATATTCCATATTAAGCTCAAAGGTATAGTTGGACCATTAATTTGGTACAGTTGTGGGATCGCAAAACGTTACACGATGCGGTGTATGTGCGCATGGTGTGTGTACGGTGTTCGTGCGATGAAATATTGTGCGATAATGTACAATACACTGTAATGACCCTACCTATTACAAACTTTGAAGCATTGCAGTTTAAGTAGTACATACTATTGTCGGTTTACCAATGTAGAAAGTCATGACAATCTTGTAAGTTTATTTGTAACGATTACCATCGCTATATGAACTTTTGTATGACTATTGTATTTCTTCATGACTGAGTGTATGATGTAGGTGAAATTAATATATTATATATGTTGATTAGATATTGGCATATTACGGCAAGTTACCGATAGCGATCTTGAAATATTACAGTGATCAGTCTCATACTCGAGGTCTATTCTCGCTTCGGTTTCTATAATAATTATCCACGAATATCAAAACTACATTTCCCAATAAGAAGAATGTGTTCTGTCATTACTGTGCCACACCTTTTATCATGATACGTTTCCAATTGATCAAAATCGAAGATTGGAAACTAGACGACTGGCATAGCCTTTGTACAACGCCATATTTGTTTTGCATTCGGATCTTTTGGATTTTATCTTATGTAAGTATTTCTATTCGAGAATGTATATCACATCCGGGTAACTTTTCTGTATACTAAATTTTGATTGGTCAGCTTATAGTATAAATAATTGTGAAGCGCAGATATTCAAGAAGCGCGATTTTACTCCTCTCAAGAGAAAGTGTGTATCTATATATGTACCAAATATAAATATAAATAATAAATTTTTAATAAAAGTGCTAAGTTGAGTTGTACTCTTCAATTGGTGTTGTTTATAGCAACATAGAGAAACAACCACAGAACTGCGGAGATCAAGCATACCGAAAGCCGCGACCAGACGGGCTCAAATAGACGCCAACTTGACATAGAATACATGACTTAGCGACGTTACAGCACCTTGGGCCTTCCGGATAATTTTCGTTGAGTTATATCGATAAACCGATATTTTAATATCGCACACATGTGCGAATTTTATCGCACAACGACGCGATCGATTTTGAAATCGCACAATTGTGCGCACGATATATATTTAATATATTTTTGCTATAATGACACAGTGCTTTGACTGCCATAACTGGTACTGTATATCAAATACACACTGTTCATACTTCATACATATCCAAAATCCAACACATAGCTTAGGACTCCATGTTGATATATAGATAACAAGAACTGGAAAGGTAGCAAAAGAAAGGGATATAATCGGGACCACCCCCCCCCCACTCAAATTGCTGATCGTCCATACGGGTAAGCGCTCCATTCACCACATTAAGCACCCGTAAAATATCTCCCTTCAAATCCACAGAAGTATAACAATCATTGATGATCTCAGATAAACTGAAAGTGAGCTTTTATTGATTGTTTGTCTTATACAAATATAGATATACAGATATGATTATATAAAATATCATCCTAGATTTTAAAGAGTATACACAGACAACACTACACAAAACTGTTCTTCTGGTGTCTCTGTTTACAAGAGCGCATTGTGCGTATGCATATGCAGAGGTTCCCCAACGACGCTGTTCAAACTGTGAAAGGCTCTCGTCAAACCTCCTGGTGTCTTGATGCAATTTAAAACTTGACTAACTAGAGGTAGACACATATGATAACCAACAGCTTTGTTATCTGTATATCAATTCGCGCAATGAACCTGTGAATAACATTCATATTAGATAAAGAAACCCGATTTTCTCTTGAAATATAAGGTTCCCGTTTCCGACCGGGGAAACAATTGATACGAACATTCGCGCTAATCGAGTCGAATCGAGAGCTCTCCGAGACATCAGGTGAACACATGTGTTGTATTGCTTTTATGACATACCTATAATTTTCTTTAAACGACTTCTATATTCGATGTAAAACAATGCTTATCATAACCGATTTGATTGATCAGTTTGCTTTTCGAAAACACACATGCAAACAACAACGTAGGATAAAAAAAGACAGTCAAGACGGTAATGACGTCGCGACTCTAAAATGGGCACAACTAAAATGTTCGCCGCACGTTCTTGTTTCAATTCATCGATGAATAGCAATATAGGAGTAACAAGTAAAAAGGAGTTCTGACTACTAAGGAAATAACACATATTAAAGAAAACAAGAGGCCCATGGGCCTTAACGGTCACCTGAGTCTACAGTATTATTTTTTTTTGTTGAAATATGTACCAATTTGAGTAAAAAACAGTATAATGTTAACTTAACTTTGTCAGGACCATGAGCTGATCATTCCTAGACTAATTTTAAGTGAGATCGGCCTATTAGAATTTAGTAGCAAAATAGCGGCCATGGCAGCCAAATTGTATTTCTGATTGACCCGAAAAATAACAACACTTTGTCAAGACCATGAGCTGATCATTCCTACAAAGTTTCAGTTCAATCGGCCTAGCAGAACTTGACTTTAAGTTTGAAATAGTTTTTCAAAATGGCGGCCGTGGCGGCCATATTGGATTTCTGAACAACCCGAAAAATAACAACACTTTGTCAGGACCATGAGTCTATCATTCCTACAAACTTTAAGTTCAATCGGTCCAGGTGAACTTGACTTTAATTTTGAAATAGGTTTTCAAAATGGCGGCCGTGGCGGCCATATTGGATTTCTGATCGACCCGAAAAATAACAACACTTTGTCAGGACCATGAGGCGATCATTCCTACCAACTTTCAGTTCAATCGGCCCAGCAGAACTTGACTTTAAGTTTGAAATGTAAAATGTTAACGGACGACGGACGACGGTCGACGACGGACGAAAACGGATAGCAATAGGTCACTTGAGCTAAAGCTCAGGTGACCTAAAAATAGATTGATTGCTGTTAAAATAACATCTTCGAAACTCAGACAGGGATTCACCTTTCAACTAGACATATCGATCTTTGAACGAGAAAAAGGTTCCACTCTAAATTACACATATCTTTGAATAGACAAAGGTTCCGCTCTAACTACACATATCCTTGAGCAGACAATGGTTCCGCTCTAACTACACATATCTTTGAACCGACAAAGGTTCCGCTCTAACTACACATATGTTTGAACAGTTAAGTGTTCCGCTCTAAACTACACATATCTTTGAACAGACAAAAATACCACTCTAAACTACACATATCTTTGAATAGACAAAGGTTCCGCTTTAACTACACATACCTTTGAACAGAAAAAGGTTTCCACTCTGAACTAAACATATCTTTGAACAGACAAGGGTTCCGCTCTTAACTACACATACCTTTGAACAGACAAAGGTTCCGCTGTAAACTACCTATATTCTTGAACAGACAGGGATTCATCTTTAAACTAGACATATGTTTAAACAGACAAAGGGTTCTGCTTTAAACTACACATATCTTTGCACAAAATAGGGTTCCACTGTAAACTACACAAGTATTTAAACAGTCAATGGTTCCGCTGTAAACTACACATATCTTTGAACAGACAAAGGTTCCGCTGTAAACTACACATATCTTTGAACAAACAAAGGTTCCGCTGTAAACTACATATATATATGAACAGACAATAGTTTCGCTATGAACTACACATATCTTTGAACAGACAAGAGTTTCGCTCTAAATTACACATATAAATGCCAGAGAAAAGGTTCCGCTCTAAACTACACATATCTTTGAACTGACAAGAGTTTCGCTCTAAACTACACATATCTTTGAACTGACAAATTCTCCACTATAAACTACACATATCTTTGAATAGACAAATGTTCCGCTCTAACTACACATATCTTCGAACAGACAAGTGTTCCGCTCTAAACTACACATAGCTTTGGACAGACAAGAGTTTCGCTCTAAACTACACATATCTTTGAACTGACAAATTCTCCACTATAAACTACACATATCTTTGAATAGACAAATGTTCCGCTCTAACTACACATATCTTTGAACAAACAAAGGTTCCGCTGTAAACTACATATATATTTGAACAGTCAAG